GTGAGACCCTGTTTTTTTAAAAAATAAAAATCAGTAAAAGTATTTTTAAAAAGGCTGGGGATCTAACTCAATAGTATAGCACCTCTGGCTTTAACTTCTGCTACTGCATGCATGCATAAAAAAATAAATAAATAACAAATTCAGCCCCATCTCCTGAACCCTGACCAACTATCATGCAAATATATTGCTGTGCAAACATACTGGCAAGTGTTGACCTATATGTACAAATGTACACAGCACCAGTGATGAAGAAAAATTGTGTATTTAAACATGAGACACAAGCTTTTTGGCTTATTAAACTAGTAATGTCCACCACTGATAAATTCAGGCATGCGCTGTGATGCAGAGCTACATTCTGGCTCACCACTGATAAATTCAAAGTTGGTTAAGAATAAAACAAAAACTATTAAACATAGCTGGAGAGAGGATAAATTAGAAAAATCTTTCTGGAGGTAAAATTGGTTATATGTATCAAAAACCTGAAAAAGGTTTGCAGGGCTGGATGTAGCCTAGTGGCACAGCACGTAGTAAGCATGTGCAACTGGGGTCAATCCTGAGGTCAATCCCTAGCACCAGAAAGATTAAAAAACAAGTAAAGTGTTTTTACCTAATCTTTATTTCTGGGAACAAATTCTAAGAAAATAATTTTGAGCTCTGCATGGTGGTATAACCATGTAATCCCAGCACTGAGTTCTGAGCTCAGTTGGCAGAAGGATTGCCATGAGTCTGAGGCCAGCCTGGACTACGTAGCAAAAACTGTCTCACAAAACAAAAAACAGGACTTCTGGAAAGATGGCAGAGTGGTGAGCAGCAGAAAAAGAGCCCCTCCGAAATTTGCTGTCCAGACACTGAAATACAGCAACATGAAGAACATAAAGAAGGAAGAGGGTTCCTGGGACCCAGGAAGGATCTGAAGTAAAAATCAAAGTGTATAGGGAAGAGAAGAAAGAGATTTCAACAAAGGAGGAGGTGGCATGCAGCACTTTCTCCCTGAGCCTCCACTCTGTGAGAGGCGCAGCTTGAACCTGCAGATACATAGTGACTACTGGCCACCTCAGAGGCCTCTACAGAGAAATGCACCAGTGGAATGGACCAGTGCATGCAGTGGAGTGCAGTGGCTGGTGAGTTATTTGGGTTCAGCTGTCCCCCAGGAGAGGGACGGTGATTGGCCTGTAGCCATCTTGGAGAGAGGCAAACTGAGCTCAGAACTCAGAACAGCTTCGAGGTTGGCTCAGTCTAGTAGCTTCCCAGTGATAGGATCAGGCTGCCAAGTTCCAGTGTGCAGGAGGTCAGGGAGCTGAGTTCAACTGGCAGGGAGCCTAGTTCAAGCCAGTAGCAGTTACATGGACTGCTGTAGGCTGAAAAAATCTGGCTCAAGTCTCACAGCCAGAACCCAGCCAGAACTCACTGAACTTCAGTAGAGCTAAAGGTGCAGGATGGCTGAGTTTATCCGCTACCTTGCCATAAAGCTTCAGCTGACTTGCAGGGATTAATCACCTAGGATCTGGACTCTGTCTGCTTACATTGTCTACTGCTGATAAATTCAGGGCTGAATTTATTAGTGACATAAAGACATGCCTCAAAATGGACATCCCCCCTTCACTTGTTTTCTTTGTTTTGCCTTGGTTTTTTTAATTGATTGTTCATTCTTTTTATATGAGTGTGGTGCTAATTTTTTTTTTTTTTTTTGGTCTTTTTGAGACAGGGTCTCACTATGCAGTTCAGGGTGGTCTTTTTTTTTTTTGGTCTTTTTGAGACAGGGTCTCACTATGCAGTTCAGGGTGGTCTTTTTTTTTATTGTCTTTTTGAGACAGGGTCTCACTATGCAATTCAGGCCGGCCTTGAGCTCACTTTGTAGCCCAGGCTGGTCTCGAACTCGCAACGATCCTCCTGCCTCAGCCTCCCAAGTGCTGGGATTACAGGCATGTGCCACGATGCCCAGTTGGTGTTAATTTTTTTGTTATTCTGTTTTCATTTTTATTTCTTCTCTCTCTCTTTCCCTCTTTCCTTCCTCACCAGTTTCCCAAAGCTTGCGTGATCTTCCTTTGTCCTCCAGCCTTGCTTCTAATCTCTTCCTTTTTTTCTATTATTCCCCTCTAATCCCTTTTAAATTTTCTGCTCTGAGGGTGAAGTCATCATTTTTTTTTCCAACAAAGCCACATTAAGCCAGTGGAGACAGGACAAGGGAGGGGAGGACCCTCAAACTCCTTCCTCCTTGCACCTTGAGCAGCTAAGCCTGCAGCTCCTCCCAGGCTTCAGGTACCACCACTGTTAGCAGGTGGGTCCTTTGCCCAAGGTGCAGGCTGTGAGTTCACATCTTCAGGAAGAAGTGTGGGGGAGGCAGTGGCCCTCTTCTTCTTGAGTGGGGCCTTTAGCAGCGCCAGCTTCTTGGGCAGGTTGGAGCTGGCTTTCACCACCACATGGCGCTCAATCTTCTTCTGGATCCCAATCTCT